CTTTGTTTCATTCATGCTTTTCTCAGCATCTTCATTCTCCTACTGATCTTGTGCAGTACGGGTTTTGGGGTTGGGGGGTTGTTATTGCTTTTTTCAGTACTGAATTTTCCATTTGATTATTCTTAATAGGATTTTGTTTCTCCATGAAGATTTTGTGTCTTTTTGCTTGTTTCAGGGGTGTTTTCCCTTGCATCATTTTTATAACAGATTTCTTAAAGTTTTTGTCTGATGGCTTTAACTTTTGGGTCATCTCAGGCTTGGCTTGTGCTGATCATCTTTTCACAGAGAAGTTGAGATTGTCCTGATTATTTGAGTGCTTGGTAACTCTAAGTTGTATCCCGAGTATTTTAAATACGCTGAGACTCTGGATCTCATATAAATCCTATGGTTAATGTTGACTTTTTTTTTTTTAGGAGGAAACAGTCAACCTGGCTGAATTTAGCCCATTAAGTTTTGACCTGTATTCTGAGTGCTGTGATTTTAATGTTCACTCCATTTTCAGATCCTCTGCAGGCCTTTTCAGGTCTGTCCTTCCATTCATCACTCACCAGCCACTTTGAGACCTGGCCGTAGCTCTAACTCTTAAACATCTTTGGTTTAGGCTGAGATCCACATATGTTCAGATGGTAAGTGGACAGCTCACCTGGACAGCTCACCTGGAATCCAGGAATATATAAACAACTTCCAGGCTTGCTCTAGCAAACTCCTCTTTCTCCACAATCTCCCTGGTGCTTCTCAGTTCTCAGTGCTCCCTTTTCAGTCTCCTGGACAAAAAGCTGGGACTCCATTTACCCCGCTATGCTGCACATGTCCTACAGCTGAACCTTAATGTATGGAGCCAGGCAGCAAAAACACAAAGATAGGAAAAAGCAAAGGGTCTTACCCCGCCTTGGAAGGGCCACACCTCCTCCCATCAGGAAAGGACCATCTTCTTCTCCTCAGAGGCTCAGGCTCCACATTACCAACCTCCCACCACCACAGGGTTGTTTAGGGAAGGGCTGAGGTAGAGGAGTTCAGAGATAACACCAAAACAGGGTGATTCTCTCAGCTCCGAGCACAGATGTCTCTGCTGCTATAGCAGAATACCACAAAATGGGGGATGTAGAAAGAACAGACGTTTATTTGGCTCTTGGTCCTGGAGGCTGAGAAGTCCAAGTGCATAACGCTGGTGTCTGGAGAGGATCATCCCATTCGGGAGGCATCATCTGGTGAGTGAGCATGAGGGACAGAGAGAAAAAGGGGACCAGAGTCCCTCGATAACTAACCCACTCCTGCAACAGCAGCATCAATCCATTAGTGAGAGCAGAGCTTCTCCAGATCACCTGTCAATACTGTTACAGTGGAATTAAGTAAATTTGGGGGAACACACTCAAAGCACAGCAGCAGATGTTCCTTACCCCTCCGGGTGGGCTGGAGCCCCTAACGTGCCCCGTGTCTGTGCCAGGGCTCAGAGCGCAGGCTGTGCTAAGTGCAGGCTGGGGATGAGGAGAGGACATGATGAGCACATTTATCACTCAGGCAGGACCTCAAATTATTTCTTCCCCAGTTGGCCTGATACTGCTGACTCCTCTCAGCCCTCACATAACTGTTCTGCCGAGGTTTTTTAAAGGTGCTTAGCAGAAGGGACCAAATACAGTGTGAGCTCCATTTTACCTGCACTGGAACCCACCTCAATCTTAACGTTTCAGGTTCTTTCCTTAAAAAGGTTTGTTCTGGCTACTTTTGATGGCCAGGCAGCATGAGGTCAAATAGCTGTGACCTGTGCAGGGGACACCAGCTCCTGGGGGGCCCCTTCCAGGTTCTGCAGCAGTGAGTTCACGTGCAAGGTGGAGTAGCAGTCCATGGCCACAGAGTGGCTACAGCAACACGTCCCAGCCTCAGCGCTGCAGTGCTTGTGGGCGTAAGTATGCCCCACTAGCTGTAGCCTGGCCAAAAAAGCGGCCAAGGCCTGGGATGCTGAAGGACGACCCCATCTCAGAAAATCACAGCCCTCAACAGGGTCACCACCAACCACCAAGCAGAGGTGGTGGAGGGAAAGACGATTCTTCCCCCCAAAAACTTAGAAGTACAACGCGTGCTTCCCAGGGGAAGAGGCTCTGGGGACTCGAGTCTAAGTCCTGATCTCCAAGACAGCTGGCTCCCAGGCCAGCCCTGTCTTCAGCCGCCTGTGCTTTGAGCCTCACTTTGTGCAGTAGGGCACAGACGTGAGTTTCAAGGCAGCTCGTAAAATGACGTTTATCACGGAGGTGAGACAGAGGCCAGGAGGAGGAGGTGATTCATTCCAGCTCAGCAGTGGCAGAGCGAGGCTGGTCCTTTGTCTCCTCCCTTGCGGCATCTTCCGTGTCAGAGCTGGGCTGGGAGGATTTGGTCCAAGAATAGGAGTCGGCCCTGCTCAAAGCCCCGATCTCCACTCCCATAAGCAGTCTTCCTCTGGTCAGACGGTTACAGTGGGTGTATCCGAGTTGAAAACAGCCATGTGCCATGTGTGTAAGAGGTAGGTCAGACTTGCACACAGCATCCCTTAACCCTGGCCCTGTAAATGTAGCCTAGCATGTGTGTGACCCAGAACAGGCAGGAGGAAGGATGAGTTTGGAAAGAAAAAAGAAAGGAAAGAGATGACGGAAAAGAACATCCAGAATGTGCATTCAGGGGCTACATCACCAAGCCCTGGGCCTCAGGGTCCCCTCCAGGAGGGCTAAGACAGAGAGGAGTTCAATGGTTGCCCCTTTGGGCCATGTGAAATTTGGGGGCCAGCTGCCAAGCACTGATGCAATCACCTCAACCCCAAGACATTTATTTTCTACATAAACATGTTATTTTTATGAAGCGATCTTACTACAATTTAGAATGATACTGAACAGCAGAAAGCATTGCCTCCTAAAACAACGGGCGCCGTTCAGCTGTCTGATTTCGTACAGCTCAGAAGTAAAGGCACTGTCTTTGAGAGCTGCTTAAACTAATTAATGCATTTTCTCCCTACAGGGTGAAATTGAGTTTTCAGATACATTTGTAAAATGATGTACTTGACTGCTAAATAATACCATGTTCTTTGCACTCCACTTCCTAAGATATTGCCTGGTATGGGCCGGCTAAGAAACGGTTTCCCACAAAACACCGACAGTGAAGCTGAACGTGTTTGATAAACTCTATGCTCATATACAAGCATATAATTGTTTTATTATGCGATACTTTTACAGTCGGAAAGAAAGGTGCCGCGTAGTTTGGCAGTAATTTGTCAGAGCAGCACTCGAGGCTGGCACTCGGGCGCGGCCCTTGGAACCGCGCCATTGTCTCTGGGAAGCGGCTGTGCTCCCGTCGAGTTTGCACACACCTCCCTCTCCTTATTCCTATAGTTTAGTAGAGTTCCAGGCTATTCTCCCAGAAAACCTGGGCAGCATCGTCTCCCTGGGTCAGAGCACAGAAAACCAAACCACCAACTCTGTGTTCTCCGAGGAGGGAGAAAATCGCTGTTTTTTGTGGTCCCGACAGATTTTATTATTTCTTTTCCAAGATAGCTGCCCCTGGAATGTCTTCCTCTGAGTCACCAGAGGACACCTTATTTTTCTTTCCTTTTTTAAAGCGAGGCACAATGACAACGATGAGAGAGATTAACAGTTTGGTTTCAAAACCCTGTCTGAAGAATAGAGGGTAAACAGAGTGTGTTTGCTTAGCAGCCCCCCAGCAGACAGCCAGGACCACAACCGCTTGTGCTAATGAGCCCAAAGCTGCTAATGTGGTTTCTTCAGTTAAATTGATTCATGAATTTTGAAGAGAACATTATCTAATGAATTTTCTTTGAATAGAAAGCAATTAAAAGGACAAATCAGTCTGATTAACCCCAAAGTCACCCTCCTGCCACAAATGGTGTACAGTTTGAAATTATATCATAAAAAACTAGAGCACACTAGCTGTCTTTCTGCCCTCTGCTAATCCATGTAAATTAATGAACAACAAAGTTAATTTCTTTGATGACCCTCTTCTAGTATCACCTGGATTATGCTGATGTTTAATTTGCTTAATGTTATAATAAAGACTAAACAGATTTTTTTCCCAGTGAAGTGATTATCGTTCCCTTCAGTTGGGAAGTGATTTTTATTACTTAACACACATGTAAGGGTGTGTTTCCTTTAAGAACCAAATCGCACTTTGCCAGCTTGGCACCAAGTGTAATTAGTGCTATTGTGGACACACTCTGAACGTCCTGCCTGTGAGCCCTTCCCTTTGTTGTTCCATTCAGAAGCTCTCGCCCCTGGAGGGCTCGGAGCCTCTGTGATGGAGGACGTGGCTCCTTCTCCAGTGCTCCTGAGCTCCTGAGCTGGGCGTCCCCTTTGGAAAGACAAGAGGCATCAATTCAGACCTGCCTCCTGGCGTCCCTGGCTTCCCTCCTGCAAACTCCACACCGAGAAAACAACTCTGAAACCTGGAGGCGAAGGCAGGGCGTGTTCTGCCCTCCCTGTTCACTCCAGCAGCAGGGTACGGAGCAAATGCAGTCCCATGTGGTTAGTCAATTAAAACGGGAATAAAGTTATTTTATTTTTGCAACCCTCTTCATTAAAGATGCCTGTGGCCAAGGTCACCGGCAGCCCCTGTGTGCCCTGGTATGTGGCATTCTGAGCAGGAGCTACAGCCTCCTGCATGCTGTGGGGTGTGGGCACCTGGCAGACCATCACTGCCTGGCTGGCCTGCACTTTCCTTTTCTGCCCCAAAGGAAATTGGAAAACAGCCAGCGGCCTGAAAGGTTTCTGAGCAGACAGGGACCCCTGTGCCCATTCATTGAACCGCACACTGCCTCGTCCACGCCCAGGTGCTGGCTGGGGTGGCCTCTGAGGAGCTGCCTGGTCGGCAACATGGCGATGGGGTGGTGCGTGGGCTCCGGGTTTTAATTGAGTAAACGCCTCTATTTGTGTTGATGCATCTTCTGTTTCGGGACTGGCAGCTGTCTGCTTCGGAGCTGTTGGAGCCGTTTGTCCCAGTAACGCATCCTCCTTCCTTCCTTTCAGATTCGTTCACCAGACAGGTGTTATGGAAGCTGCTGAAGGCTGTGAAATTCGGAGAAACGGTGTCTTACCAGCAGTTAGCAGCCCTGGCAGGAAACCCCAGAGCAGCGCGGGCAGTGGGAGGAGCGATGAGAAGCAATCCTGTGAGTCATGGACAGCGTGATGCCGGTGGGGCCGGCCGGTGGGGCCGGCCGGTGGGCCCTGAACTGTGCTGGAGGCAGGGGTGCCAAGTGCCATCTCATCTAAGTGCCTCTGAGGTGGCCTGTCCAGCTGGGGTGGGGAGGAGGGAGACTTCAGCACCAGAACCCCACTCACAGCACTCCAGCAAGGGTCTTCTCGGGGTTCCAGTCCCAATGACCTGAGCCCTTGTCATCACAGATAGCACCAGAGGAGGCGGCCTGGGGAAGTGGCAGGCAGGAGGCCTCTGTTTACTCAACAACCAGGTTCACTGGGTGCAGTCCTGTGGCTGAGGCCCTCTGAGGGACCACAGCAAACAACAGATGGCTTTGCTGCCCCACGTGCTGGCTCCCAGGAGCAGAGCGTGAAAGAGTCAGGGTCCAACCACCTCTCCTGGGGGCTGCTCTCAGTGGCCGAGGCCTGCAGTACCCTGAATCTCGAGAGTTAAAACACAGGACTGAGCCTGAGAGAGGATTTACCGCCTTGGGCCATGTCTCCCCAGGGACGGTGCCCCAATCCCCTGGCCCTTCTCTGTAGGCATCTTCCTGTGTGTCTCCCCAGGGACGGTGCCCCCACCCTGGCCCTTCTCTGTAGGCATCTTCCTGTGTGTCCACAGTCAGGTCTCACCAAGCTCCAGGCTTCTAGATCTAGTGAAGCCATAAGCTTTGCTCCCCAGAGGACAGAACTGGGCCACACAGTGGGGTAGGCCACCCAGCCTGTGGTGCCGGGAGCCGTGGGCCATCCAATGTGATCAAGGAAGTCGTGCACATCCAGCCCACCATGCCTGAACCCCACGTGTGGGGAGAAGGGCACCCCAGGCATCCCATAGCCCTGGGATGTTCCTGGTCCCATAATCCCGCCCATTGCCAGGTGTCTGTTGCATTAGCAGGTGTCTGTCTTTCCCCCTAAAGCTGTGTGGGACCTCTGGTGTGGCGGGAGAATGCCCTCTCTTAAGGAGAACAAGTGTGATCATCCTGTCACGTGGTGGCAAATGACTGACTCACACCCACTTTTTAAAAGCTTGCTGTGTCTTTCCAGAGCTGTTTCCATCCCTGCTCACCGGCACAGCCAGCCTCAGGGCAGTCCAGCGTTTCCCTCCACACAACCCCGTCCTTCTTGAAAAAACAGCTGCTGTAGGTCTGTGATGGGCAGCCCTGGGCAGCCACCTCTGGAAAGGTCTTCTGCCACGTTACAACATCCCGATCCTTTAGCAGTTTGGTGCGACAGGGCACCCCCTGGGACCCCTCCACCTCCTCGGCTTCGGTGACATGGCTGGTGGGTGCAGTGGCGTTTCCATTGGCGGAATTAAAATTGGTGGCAATTCTCATGCCTGTGAATCGTAGGGTGCTCAGCTTTGTTGCTAAAAATGTCCCCACCATGTGCTGTGGCCTCCTGTTTACAGCTCATGTGGAATGCTTCTGAATCAAATTTCTGAAGATGGTTTTTGACATTTTGCAATAAAGCTTGATCTGCATCTCCCCTTTGGAAGGCCACTGGCTTCTCCCAGATGGCAACTGGCCTCGGGGATCTGTCTTTGCTGAAGATAGCAGGCGTCCGTGGTGCTGTGGCTCCCTGCAAGGCCCTGGGGAGCGTGGGACACTGATGTCTCTGCTTCCATCTCCTGCCTCACTGTCACCACAGTCACTGTGTCAGGCAGGGCTCCCTCGGCACCCTTGGGCACAGTTAGTCATTCTCAGGGGGCCGGATGCCCCCCATGAGCACACATGAAGGTGGAGATGGAAGCGGCCTCACGGAGGCACCCAGCAGTGTGTGCAGCTCACAGCTCTTTGTCGTAAAAACAAGCTCCACTAAGCGACATGTACAAATTCGTGACACCCCCACCACCTGCCTTTTGTGACGCGAGTAGTTACTCTCTGCTCTGGAGATGCCATCACTGGTTAGCGATCCTGCTTGTGGCAATATTCAGAAACATTTATTCCGCAAACCAGCCTGGCTCTCTCCTGCCATTAATTTCTATGAATGTCTCTGTTCCAGGATGGCCTCCATCACTGAAACACATAAAACAGGATCTCACAGGGTTGAAAACTCTAATGTCAGTGAAGTCCACATACTGATCCCCCTGTCATGTGTCAAAGCCAAGCCTGGAGGTGCCGCAGCACTGGACAGGGGCCACTGTGCAGACACTGTGTCTCGTCCTGGGCCAAGGGCAGCCAGCCAGTCTTTGAGTCCTTTCTACAGGTGTTCATGCAGGGACCTTGAACTTGAAGATTTCAGCAATGCCAGCAGCGCCTCAACGGAAGGCTGCCCACACCCTCCCCAGCCCAGACGGCGCATGGTGGAGACCCGCGCACAGAAAACATCTCCTGCTTATGCTGAAGAGTGAGCGCATTAGGAGGGGAGAATGAAACGTGGACTTGGAGCATTACAGAACACAGGGAAGCTCGTGTGTTAATGCCTCAGATGGCTGCAATAAACAGCACACGCTGGTCCCTGCTGCAGCGTTTGCTGTGGGCATGAGCTGCTCTCCCCCCAGCAGGCTGAGGAGCGCTTTTTTCTGTATGGGAGTTTCCTCCTTTTCAGGAGCTTGATTCTCCAAAGGTTTCCAGGGAGGCCTTGCTGCTGGCTGGTGCACAGTGGTTGGGCAGAAGTCCAGAGAGCTGTGTCCCCCTACCCCGCATGAGGGGGTGGTCAGTGTCCCAGCATATGGCACTGAAGTCTCCCCATAGCCCTCTCCACAGACACACAAAACTCCCTTCCTCTTCATCCTCAGACAGAATTTGCTAAATGCAGTTCGAAGGCAATCGATACGTTGCACAGAGACTTTCCCCACCTTTTCTCTAAACAGGCACATTCCCGAGGAGTGAGTTTATTCACACATGGCCGTGAGCGTTAATGACCCCCCGAGTCTTGTTCTGCCAGTCACCCAGATGGCTGTTGATAAAGATTTAGCATCATGTTCTAAGTGTCAGGGTTGTCAGTGGAGCTGAACCATTTGACCAGAAGAAAAAAACGCACAGGGAGCTATTGATTACAGCTTCTCCGTGTCACTTGTTCACCAGGATTTAGGTATTGATGAGGCTGCGAGTGAAAACAAGCCCTTTCCCTAGCGGGCTGCTACCCAGAAGAACAAAGGCGAAGTTGGAAAAAATATTCAGCCGGTACCAGAATCAGAGGGATCCCATTATTGATTGGAAGGCCCCTTCATGTTATTTTTGTTGGAGACAAATCTATGGGTTTGGAAGTTTTATAGCATTTGAGAAAGGGGCCGCGTAAGTGATGGATTCGTGTATTGGAAGAATTAGATTTCACAGCAGGAAGATTTCGATGCAGCTGTGATATTATGAGCTTCTTGGTTATTGATAAAAATTACATTTTATGCAGCACAGGCTTTAAAGGAGAGGGGGTAGAGGGCACGGATCCTTAGAAAATGTCCTTAGGGCCCCAATAAATTTTAGCAGGTTTTATTATTCTGATAGTCTGAAACCTGCCACCAAAATTAACACAAACAGAAGCAGCATTCCTCATTTCTAATGGGAAAGACAGTGCCTGTCCAGGAAGTGACCCATCGCTCACCAGGGCTCAGGTGAGATGGAGAGTGGTCCTTGCTGGAAGGGCCATCTGCCCTATCCTCTGCCTTGGTCCTACAAAAGGGAGAAGACAAGACGTTTATGTTATTCACTTTTGTAATTTCATAGCTTATTGAGAGAGTGGGAAGAAAAATCAAAGCCCAGTTGTGGAACGTGCTGTTAGGTAGGAAAATTGAACTGGCACCTAAGTGTTTAGGAAACTAGATTGAATTAAATGCCTACCTCTTCATCAGTCAAAACTGTGAATTGTGTGTTACCTAATAATGTCCTTGCTGCAATTATTAGTGTAACTATCGTATTTGATAAAAATCATCAGTGTGAGTAAATATTCGATTCTTGGAAATTTGTCTTACTCCTTCCAAGAAGATTGGAATCCTCTGCCTTGGGCAGGACCTGGCAGAGATCCTCCTCTTCACCTCCTAAACTCAGTACCAAGCTGGTCAGCTCTCCATCCACCTTGCCTGCCCTCCCAGACACGTCACTGGGGCATGTTACATGGTAACCCAAACTCCGAGGCCCAAAACAGGAAGAGCCGTGATGTGGGGGAGCCAGAACCTCTCTGTGCAGCCACAGCCAGTGTCCAGGAGAGCCGTTGGGACAGTGGTTGGACACACCTTTGCCTCCACAGGCCTGTGAAGATGGGGGACACTCTGTACCAGGTTGACATACTCAGGCAGCATCGAGCACAGGATATGCCTGCTCCACGTGGCTTTAAGCACAAGACGGGGCTGGGGTAACCCCGTGTCCCTGGGACACACATAGCCAGGCCCCAGAGAGAGAGACATACCTGGCTGGTAGGTGCACAGCAGTGACAACATGGTTGCCTATACTAGGAGTCACCACTCCAGGAAGCGGGGGTTCCTGGGACATGGGCCCTAAAGATCCGGGCACACCTGCCCAGCTCCACCCTCAAAACTCACCTGTCTGCTGCTCACTCCACCTGGTTTGCTGGCTGTGGAGGGTAGAGTTGAGCATAGGTGAGCTGGAGAGCTGCTCTCCACTGAGCTGCAGGCGGTGGTCCTGTGACCTGCAGGACCCTAAGATATGTGGGGCTGGGTCTACAGGACCCACATCCAGGACATCTAGGGTGTAGGGGCAAGTGGGCTGGCCCTCCTCCCTTTAGAAGCTGTAGGATGGAATGGGATGGGAGTCCAGGCTCCTGGACACCACCTGTGGCCTTCCTCGTGTTATTGACAGCTGAGAACCTTCCATAGCAAGCCCCACACCCTGCCTACCTCCACCAGCCCCACTTCCTGTTATCATGTTGCCCATCCACAGTCTTCACGGAGCAGCTTGGGGAGATAGCACAATGATAGTGTGTGTCCCCCCACGTCCCAGGCCCTCAGTGCTGACCACCCATGCCCTCCCGCTGGTCACTGTGACTATTAGGAAGACAGTGGTGCCCTGGGGACTGGCGGCAGGTCCTTTCCTAGGAAAGGTGGGAGTGTGTGGAGATGTCATCACATATCCCTTTGGGAAACGGCCCCAGAGTGGCTCTTCTCAATAATTATGGTGGGAACCTTGGAGCAAATGTCTGTGGAGCCCTGAGTCCCTTGCAGTGGACACACAGGATGTGCCTTGAGTTTAGTGGCCCCCGGGAGTGTGGCCATCCCCAATGTCTGGCTCCCAAGTGTCTGGCTGTCTGGGGTGCAAGGTTGGCAGCCAGGGATGACTTCTACATTCATCCCCGTCTTTTCCTTTGTGTATTGGCATAAAAGGGGTTCTTCCTCAGGAAATGCCCATGTTCACCTGTGGATGTGGAAGCAGGCATCTCTCCATTATCTCACGCCAAGACCCCAGGGCCTCAAGGGCCTGACCCAGGGAAGGGGTATTGATGCTGAGACAGGACCTACACTGCATCCCTCACCCCTGGCACCACCAGCACCCATCGTGAGCCCCTGCTCGGGTGCTCTGGCTGGTCATGGTCTGGCCTTGCTCTTGGCCCCAGTGACCTGACAGTGCGGCCTCCCTGTCTTTCAGGTCCCCATCCTCATCCCATGCCATCGAGTGGTCTGCAGCAGCGGAGCCCTGGGCAACTACTCCGGAGGAGGACGGGCCGTGAAGGAATGGCTTCTGGCCCACGAAGGCAACAGGGCAGCGAAGCCAACCTGGGGAGGGCGCTCCGGCCCAGCCAGGGCTTGGGGGGGGGCGGTGGAGGGCTCTGCCGGCTCCCAGAGTGCCGGCCGGAATTGAGCGCAGTAGGAATGTGCCCTCCAGTGCCGTGTAGGGTGACTCTGCATTGGAAGAGCAGGGGACCCCGCTGCATGGGCGTCGGGGGGGTCACAGCCGTCTGCCTCTCATGTCTACATTTTACAGCAGAGTAAACTTGGAGCTCAGCCATGTGAGTGTCGCTTGTTTCTTTAGCACCATTCTGTTCTTAACATCCCTTGAAACAGGGAGGAGATGGAGGGAAGGCCTGGCCAGCGTGAGGGCCCCTGCCCTGGACAGGGGTGGGTCTGTCACCCACTGACAACAGCTGGCTGCTGCAGATGCGCCCAGGGCCAGCTCACACCTGACCCCAGCTGCACCATGTCTGTCCACACTGGGAGGTGCCCTGGCTTCCCGGCTGCACCTGTGTCTGTCCACACTGGGAGGTGCCCTGGCTTCCTGGCTGCACCTGTGTCTGTCCACACTGGGAGGTGCCCTGGCTTCCACCTGTGTCTGTCCACACTGGGAGGTGCCCTGGCTTCCCAGCTACACCTGTGTCTGTCCACACTTGGAGGTGCCCCAGCTTCCTGTCTGCTTCTGTGTCTTCTGTCACAGTGGTCACTGCCCCACACTGGAGTCTCACTAAAGGACAGAGGCTAGGCCCAGGAAGCAGATGCTTAGAGGTTCTGCCGCTTTGCTTTCTCAGCTGCTAGAAAATCTAATGCAAGATGTATCCATTTATGGTCTGTCTGGACTGAGTGGAAATCAGCTGTTTGCCACAGAGACTTGGAGCAGCTCTCTGGTGTGGGTGTGGCTGAGTAGCCCCCTTCTGGGTGTTACGGTCTCACCCTGCATCGCAGCCCCTCTTGCCACACCTTGGCTTGATACCCTGGGCAGCAGGTGAGGAGGGACACAGGCCTCTCCTCCCAGCAGCCTTTCTGCCACCAAAGGAACCTCAAGACCAATGGCTCTGGGAGAGCCCCAGCAACCCACCCTCGCACCTAGAGGTCTCAGGTCACACGACAGCTCCTGTTTCCGACGGCAGGAGAGTGAGTTCCCAGCATCTGCCGTGCACCACAGTTCAGTATCACGTTGTCATTTTGGCCATGTGATTAACTAGATCCAAAAGGCAAAGGGGGACTTGTAGCTCTGTGTGTGGATAAATAAACTGGGGCGTTTGATATATGGAGAAACACAGCTGTGCCTAGTGGGTGGGAAGGCACGTGGTGCCCAGGGCTCCTTATGCGAGTGTGACCCACAGTGGGGAAGTGTGAAACTGGAGAAAAGCACGTGTCCCGTGCACGTACTTTGTATTTCATGTTTCCTTAACACTAGGAGAGAGACCTGACGAAAACATCAGACTTTTCTCAGGCATTTATAGCTTACACCCTTTAGTCTTATCTGCCAAATTCTGGATTTCTGTGTGCTGTGGATGCTCTGTGTGCTTTCTGCATGTGCCCTCTGTGAGCTCTGAGCACAGGCTCTGCGTACACTCTGCGTGGGCACGTTCCAACAGAGGGCACTGGAGACGTCCACTGTGCTGCTCAGGAGACCCTCCCCCTAGTCACCATGTCCTCTGCCTAAGCATGTGCTTGAAAATGGGAGGCCAGGGGAACTCTGACAGCTCCCACATGGCTCTGAGGCCACCTTGTGCACCTGCACGTGGACCAGCCTGCAGGTGCACATGTGGGCCACAAAGGATGAGCGCCTCCCCTGTCACCTTCAAGTTCCCCAGCAGGATCAGGCTCTGAGGGAGGGTCCTGGGCTGCCCAGCACAGGTGAGCAGCAGGGGATCCACCCCATCAAAGCCATCCATGGTGACCCGGCTTCATGCATCCTGAACATGCACAGGCCTGTGCAGCCGTGCCCTTGGTGCAGGCCAAGCCCACATTCTGCTTCACCTCCAAGGGATTCTTCAGACCTGTCACAATAGGCTTACGAGATGCCCTGAGGTTCACTCTGACAGAAAGACCAGCAGGGCTCCAGCCAGCATGGCCATGTACCACTACAAGGACAAGCTCTGCAGAGCTGACTTGAAAGCCGTCCACGTTCGCCTCAAGCCACTCGGCTCCACGTTGCAGTGCAGCTTGTGGAAATAAAGACAAGGCACAAAGAAATACAAAAATGTTTTCCAAATAAAAAGTGTCAAAACAAGAAAGCTGTGCTCTTTGGCTTTGGCCCCAGATCCACTTTACCGGTCGGGTTTCCCGTCCAGCGCTGTGGTGCTTTAAAGGCTGACACGGGGACCCACGGACCACTGGTTCCTTCCAGCAGCTTATACCACCAAAGACCAAGATGGCAAAAGATTCAGAAATGCTTGTTTTTGTGGAACTACGTTTATAAGGAAGTAGATGACGTTGGCGGTACAGGAGACCAAGTTTGACGAGGGTGTGTGTTTTCTTCTCCCCGTCTCTCTTCCTCATTAGCAGAAGTGTTGAGTAAATCCACCTGCTTTCCGCTTATCCAAGAGACTGATGCAAATTCTTCAAGACCAAAGAGAACTGTCACCCTGGGAATGTGGCTTCATGGTGTGGACTAGTGCTGAGTCAGAGATGGGTTTTCCATGAGGAGTTTTAGGCCTTTCTGGGATCATTACTTTATAGTTCTAGGGCACAGGTTCAGAGGACACAGGCAAGCTTTATATATGACTGAGATCTTGAATTCACACTCGTGTCTCACCAGCCGAAGGCTCACTGACCAGCCCTCAGTTGGGTCGGCTGAGTCGGCTGGTGGTCTGCTAGCAGCTAAAGTCATCTTTGTGACTTGCTGCGTCTCACAGGTACCCCCTTGTCCTTGGGCCTCCACTCCATGTGTGTTGCACAGTGACCCTTGTTTAGAGGGGCTGAGCATGTCCAGTGCAGATGTGTTTTCACTGTAACCATCGGTTTTGTTTATTAATCCTTTGTGAACAGTGTAGTTCCCAAGCTACTTCCTATAAAGTCTTAGAATGAGAGTGGAAATACACCCAGATTGCTTAAAAACCTAGCTGGGGGTGTGACCCACTGGGACCCCAGGGGAGTAGACCAAGAGTGACCACTCAGGGAGGGTCGTGCAGCCATGTGTAGGGCAGTCTCAGGGCAGCCCCCAGCCTGGCCCACAAGGCACAGCAGCTGTGCTGGCCATGTCACCCTCTTGGACTCACCTGCCGCATGTCCTACCCTGGCCATTGGCAGCCCCCAGCTGTGACCAGCCCCCAGTTGTGACCAGGGCAGTGCTGCCACCTCGGACCTTGCCCCACTGGCACAGGCAGATGTCACACTGTGTAGAGGTGAAAATTATTTGTTTCACTGCAGAGTTTGCAAGAGCTCTTCATGCAATTTGGGTTTCAGACAGCATAGAGGGGACTCTGAATTGACATACTGGCTCAGTGTGGGATGTAAGGGCAAGGAAAGTTGGTTTTATTTTACTAAAAAGCTTTTCCTAAAGGTCTCATTGGAAATGGCCCTTTGCCCTCAGCCCCCAGCCTTGGTGATGTGTTGGTTCCCAGCCTGTCCCCTGCTGTTGGCAGGCACTAGATCAAGGAGGGTGGTTGCAGGCCCTCAGGTTGGGTATTTCCTTGTTCATGGGCATTTGACTAAAAGTTTGCATTTAAGAAGCTGAAGTCCACATCAATTTTCCTTATCAGTTTGAAAGATGCTGAGATTTAAAGAGGAAACGCCTCTGCTGAGCAGCCACTGTCCGTCGGTCTGTCTGAGGCTGGGAGGTGGAGAAACTGCAGGTCCCGCCAGGCCTCCCAGTGACTGAGGGCAGCGTCCAGAGTCCCCCGGACCCCGTGGCTCCGGCTGCTGACAGACGGGGAGCGTCTGGCCTCCATCATCCGGGGCGGCCCGACAAGAGTCTCTGATGGGGGCAGGAGCGGACGAGAAAGTAGGAAGTGGGTGCCGGGCAGCGAGGTGCAAATTGACGGCAGGGCCTGGCCTGACAGTGCCTTTGATTGATGAAAGGACGTTGTTAACAAGCCTTTAAAGTTTCTCATTAATGTTTTTTTTTTCACTGAAAAAAAGCTACCAGAAAAATTTCCGCATGGACAGTAATTAAGATCGATGCAATACAGTGTGTATCAGTGTTGCTGGGAGCCAGGGAAAAAACCCTCCCAGGACAAACTTGCTTTCAAGCTGTCATCCTCTGGGTTCTTGAGAGCACCACGCAGCATGGGAAGGTGGGCAGGCGAGGCCCGTTCTGTGGACATGATGTGGTCGGCCTCACCAGACCTATTTTCACGGTGGCCTGAGGATGCAGAGCGGAGCCTCGTAACTCTGTCGTGACCTGCGCTGCGGTGGCTCGGGGGGGGGGGCAGCACAGAGACCCTGCAGCTCTGAGCGAGCCTGGAGGTGCGTGTCTGTGCCTGTCTGCACCATGTCGGGGGCTCCGCCTGTGTCTGCGATGCAGGTCAAGTACCCTCACTCCGTGTACACACAGCACCTCACGTGGACACAGTCAATACTTTTAAGAAAAACCCAGAGAAACTCTGCCTCCCGACACGGAGCAGCACAATCCTGCTTTTGCTGCGATGGTCACAGCTACAGGAGAGGCGGGTGCTCGCAGGGGGCACCCCAGGAGCAGGGGAGCAGCACAGTTACAGGCGTGCTCCCAGGGTCTCTGCAGGAAAGCACGTGCCCCAGGCCGGCCTCAGAGAGCAAGGTGGAGACTGTCCCTGTCCACTCACTGCCAGCTCTCCTACCAGACATGGGGCCCATCCATGCCCGGCGTGGCCCCAAGATGGGGCAGCTGCCCACAGTCTGCGTTAGACAGGAGCCCTCATGACTAAGGGGGTTCCTCCACTCTGAGTCACTGCTCATGGGTGTGCTTCTTTGGGGGAAAAACTGTCCCCATGGAGTATTAAGTTTTATGGAAGCTTTGAGATCTTTACAGATAAAACCCATCGGGTGAGTGTGTGATGCTGGACACAGATCCTCCAACTCCAGCTGTGGGAACAGGAGCCCCTCGCTCGCTGGGCACCATCCACCAGCACTCCCAGACCTGGCGGCTCCTGAGTGCTTACCCTTGTGGTTTTGCTCACTGTTTTGATTACCAGAAAAGGGCATTTAAAGTGACCCGAGAGAGGATGAGTGGCATTCTCAGCGTGAGGCCCAACCTTGTTCCTACCTGGGTGCCCTAACCAGAGCCCGCTGGAGATGTTCCTCTGCAGGTCTGGGAGGCCTTCTGGGAAGTTTCCTTGTCGTGGGAAAACATT